CTTCCCCCAGGATTCACCCCCCCAGCATCTTCTTGGACAGCTGCCCAGGCAGGACATAGCCCAGAGCCCCACGTTGTGGCGCCAGCTGTAGTAGATAATTTACTGCAAACCAATTAGTTTGAATGACTATCTGTTCCTGTCCAAATTAAAGATAATAAAGTTGCGTGCACGCAGAAGTAAATTCACACTGAGACACAGAGTTCAGGTTAATGAAAGAACTTCGGAGAAGTTTAATGGCTTCTGACAGAAAATGGGTGCGCAGACCCTTATAAAGGCATTTTTACATCACTGAAGAATTCAAGATAACAGCAAATAGACACTATTGATTGGTCCAGGTGTTAAGTGGTTAGTTAGATACCCTCCTATCAAGAGGTGATGTCATCCTTGACACGGGAGTGGACACAAGATGTAGGCGCCATCTTGTTAGCACGAGGTGTTCACTCGATGGGAGGGGTGCTTTGGCAGCCATTTTGAGTAGTTAGTATTGTTAGCTTCAAGGTTCTTTTAGTAAATACACATTTTATCAAAGCTATTTCTTGCTGACATGCAAATTCTATGTTCTATAGACAAAGCTTTCTTGTAAAACTGTGGGGCCTCTTAGAGGTATAGCAAGAGGATTTAAAGGGGCCTTACAGATTTATAGAGGCCTAATAATTCTACAACACTACCAACTAGGTGGGTTTGGCTATGGAGCTTGTCTAGTGCCTTAAGTCACTGTATGTTGCCTGCTGTGATTTGGCTGTTTGTATTTTATTGAGTTTTCACAGCATTGTTAATGTAATGACCATATGGGCTAGTCCTAAGTAAAAGAAAGTTCTTCTTGATCCCTCTAAACGTAGCCTTGTCTTGTTATTGGAGGGAGCTATTATGATCACACTGGCGATTGCTATGCTCTGCATACTCCCCTGAGCTTGAATCACTTAGCTCTTTTAAGAGCTTGCTCCTGACAGGCTCTCCTTGGAGGAGGGGTCTTCACCACACAGTCCTGGATGCTGGTGGTTCATACAGGGTGGAAGGAAGAGGTCTTTCCCACACAGTCCTGGAGGACAGAAGCTGATCCAGGGTGGAAGGAAGATAGTGAAACTCCAGTCAAGATACGGCGGTTGTGGAGTCTGCGGTGGTTGTGGTGTCTGCTGCAGTGCTTGGAGTCCTCAGGAAGCGCTAGTCGGGGGTACCCAGTCGGGGTGCCAGGTGATCCGTTACAAATATGTAACATGCTTGATAATAATCAGTGAATATTTAAGTATAACTTACTTTATAACATGGCTACAATTATGGCAATAAATAACCACAATGAAAAAATATTTCGCCTGTCCAGCAACATGCGTTGTATTAATTTCCAAAGTAGTTATGTGCAAAGTTACAGATAATTCCTCTAGAATGTAATTATTTCAACACAGATGCTTTTCAACAATGTTAAAGGACACTTTAGAATACTTTCAGAATTACTTTACACAGAACACAATTTCAAGTCGTAAAACTACTACTGACAGCTTGTGAAAATCACACAGAGAAAGAGTTGTAATAGACTATATGCTGCCATGCAGATTCACGAAGAGAACTCACTCACTTCTGATTTCAATTCTCACAGGCTAAACACTTGAACATTGCAAATAAAAATATACAATATTTTTCACACAAATAGTCAACTTCCTATTTTTTACCATCCAATAACCAAAATCTTTCTAAGCAAGCTGCAGATATTTAACTTTCTGATATTTCAAATATGAAATATCCCTAAATTCAAATATGTCAATATCTCTGGATAATAACTTGATATGCTAAACTTGGCAATTTACCAGCGATTTTATGATTCTTTAATTCAACTGCAAAGTGAATTTTTAATGATAAATAAATCCCTCAGCTAAATATAATTTTAAAAGTTTGAAATCTGATCAGCATTATCCTGGTATATTTCTGCTTTTAGTAAAAATGTATTAAATTAAATTAACCCAATCATATTTACCGGCTTTTCTTGGTAGAAAAGTATCTAGTCTTCGAGGGTATGTAAGTATGGTATGTAGCTAGGGTTGGTCAACTTCTAGGGGCTCCTATTTGAAAAATGATGAATGCTCTCCTGGCTGGATAGTGGCGAACGTTCCCCTCGTTTGGTAGATTTGTTTGTCCATCCGCAACCACTCATCCCTTTGTTTGTAACTCCGCATCCACTTCTCCCTTTGTTTGTCACTCCACATACACTCATGCCTTTGTTTGTCAATCTGCATCCACTCATCCCTTTGTTTGTAACTCCGCATCCACTTCTCCCTTTGTTTGTCACTCCACATCCATTCATCACTTTGTCACTTCGCAACCACTCATCCCTTTGTTTGTAACTCCACATCCACTTCTCCCTTTGTTTGTCACTCCACATCCACTCATGCCTTTGTTTGTCAATCTGTATCCACTCATCCCTTTGTTTGTCACTCCGCGTCCACTCATCCCTTTGTTTGTAACTCCGCATCCACTTCTCCCTGAGTTTTCACTCCACATCCACTGTCCCTTTCTTTGTCACTCCACATCCACTCATGAGTTTGTGGTCATGGAGCTCTGTGATATCTAATACACACTACACATTACTGTGAGTTTTACCACTCTGCATGTGAGCCATCTCTGTGATACACTAATACACACTACACATTACTGTGAGTTTTATACCATGCCCTGTGATACACTACACACACTACACATTACTGTGAGCTCCCTGTGATACACTAATACACACTACACATTACTGTGAGTTTTATAGCCATGTCTGTGGTGAGCCATGGAGCTCTGTGATACACTAATACACACTACACATTACTGTGAGTTTTATGGCCATGGAGCTCTGTGATACACTAATACACACTACACATTACTGTGAGTTTTATACTCATGGACATTACTGTGAGTTTTATAGCCATGGAGCTCTGTGATACACTAATACACACTACACATTACTGTGAGTTTTATGGCCATGGAGCCCTGTGATACACTAATACACACTACACATTACTGTGAGTTTTATGGCCATGGAGCTCTGTGATACACTAATACACACTACACATTACTGTGAGTTTTATGGCCATGGAGCTCTGTGATACACTCATGTGAGTTTTATGGCCATGGAGCATACACTAATACACACTTTACTGTGAGTTTTATGGCCATGGAGCTCTGTGATACACTCATACACACTACACATTACTGTGAGTTTTATGGCCATGGAGCTCTGTGATACACTAATACACACTACACATTACTGTGAGTTTTATGGTCGTGGAGCCCTGTGATGCACTCATACACACTACACATTACTGTGAGTTTTATGGCCATGGAGCTCTGTGATACACTATACACACTACACATTACTGTGAGTTTTATGGCCATGGAGCTCTGTGATACACTAATACACACTACACATTACTGTGAGTTTTATGGCCATGGAGCCTGTGATACACTAATACACACTACACATTACTGTGAGTTTTATGGCCATGGAGCTCTGTGATACACTAATACACACTACACATTACTGTGAGTTTTATGGCCATGGAGTGAGTTTTATGGCCATGAAGCTCTGTGATACACTAATACACACTACACATTACTGTGAGTTTTATGGCCATGGAGCCCTGTGATACAATAATACACACTACACATTACTGTGAGTTTTATGGCCATGGAGCTCTGTGATGCACTCATACACACTACACATTACTGTGAGTTTTATGGTCGTGGAGCCCTGTGATGCACTAATACACACTACACATTACTGTGAGTTTTATGGCCATGGAGTGAGTTTTATGGCCATGAAGCTCTGTGATACACTAATACACACTACACATTACTGTGAGTTTTATAGCCATGGAGCTCTGTGATACACTAATACACACTACACATTAATGTGAGTTTTATAGCCATGGAGCTCTGTGATACACTAATACACACTACACATTACTGTGAGTTTTATGGCCATGGAGTGAGTTTTATGGCCATGAAGCTCTGTGATACACTAATACACACTACACATTACTGTGAGTTTTATGGCCATGGAGCTCTGTGATACACTAATACACACTACACATTACTGTGAGTTTTATGGCCATGGAGCTCTGTGATGCACTCATACACACTACACATTACTGTGAGTTTTATGGTCGTGGAGCCCTGTGATGCACTCATACACACTACACATTACTGTGAGGTTTATGGCCATGGAGCCCTGTGATACACTAATACACACTACACATTACTGTGAGTTTTATAGCCATGGAGCTCTGTGATACACTAATACACACTACACATTACTGTGAGTTTTATGGTCGTGGAGCCCTGTGATACACTAATACACACTACACATTACTGTGAGTTTTATAGCCATGGAGCTCTGTGATACACTAATACACACTACACATTACTGTGAGTTTTATGGCCATGGAGCTCTGTGATGCACTCATACACACTACACATTACTGTGAGTTTTATGGTCGTGGAGCCCTGTGATGCACTCATACACACTACACATTACTGTGAGGTTTATGGCCATGGAGCCCTGTGATACACTAATACACACTACACATTACTGTGAGTTTTATAGCCATGGAGCTCTGTGATACACTAATACACACTACACATTACTGTGAGTTTTATGGTCGTGGAGCCCTGTGATACACTAATACACACTACTGATAACCGTGTTTTATCAGTTTTGGGGATTATTCAGGTTTATTACCTAAAGTGTAAATTGCTGGAAAGTCAAAGCGAATTTCAAATGTAGGTTAAAATAGGCAAACTGGAAAATTCTCCAAATCCGCTATGGTTTTGAAATACAATTTGAAATTCACTGTGAATTCCCTTTCATTTCCATTTTAGTGATTAACCCTATAATTCTTGTACGTGCTTTCGTGGGATGTTTTTCATTCTGCGTTCCTAACCATCACTGTGGTTTGAGATTGCATCAGGAAATTTATGTTAATTGTGATATTTTGAAGCAATGAATGTATGATTTTCACGTTTTAGGAATGGAAGCATTTATGTTGATCACAAAGTGGTTATAGAAGCTAAATTCCAGCCAAATATTTCAGCACTGCATGATGATATTTGTGATCAAATAAATAACCGACTCTTGGACTCTGAACCAGCAAAAGATACTTGTAGTAGAATTGGTAAGGACTGTTTTAATATTTACAATCCACCTTGAAGTGTCTGTGCCATGTGTGCCATACGTAGAGCTCTATGCCAAAGACCTGACTGACAGAGAGAGCAGGAGAGTCTTCCCAAAGGCGGTTCTCCTGCTTTCCATGAACAGCAGCCACAGCTCATATGTAGTGGTTGCTATAGTTACTCTCTAGTCCAAACTCCAGTATAGAAACAGGGTAGCAATATCCCTCCGCTCAGATTCTGGCATGCTGGCAAGAAAACCAGCTTGTCGGGCTATGGAGAAGGTTTGTCCTTCTCAGGGAAAAGGACCTCAGACAAAGCAATGAAGTCTAAGCGTGGGAGAGACTGGCGGTCAGTTTTACAATACTGTAACACTCACTGAGCTGAGGACCAAAGGAAAGTAATGTCATTATTTGCCATTGACAATATAATTTACCTCTATTATAAATAATATGTTCAAAGCCTAAATTCTTTCCAAAACTCTGTCTCTCTCTAATATTGAACCAGCTGGTCGATGCAGTCTGGAAGATAACCTTTTCCAAACCCTCCTCCATAAAGCCACACACTCACTCACTCACACACTCACACACTCACTCACACACTCACTCACTCACACTCTCCCCTGTGCTCATCAGTGTGAGGGGAAAAAGCAAAGCCATGTCAATGAGTATGTTATCATACATGCATCTATTAACTGCGTTGTAATTTCAGTTATTTTTCAGTGCTATCAATAAGCATTTGTTCTTAAAGGGACACTCCAACATTTAAACAAGTTACTTACCTTTAATCAAGTTGGGGCGCTGGCTTCGAGCCGAAGTTAGATCATTATGCATACTCTCCTGTCCAATCCAATGCATTTTATAGAGAAGTCCTCACTCCGAGCTGTCTATCAATCAGATGGGAATGTGCAACTTGGGATATTTATATTCCTTTTGAAATCAGACACTTTCTGAAAATAAGACACAGGGGACATAACCGCTTAGCAAGCTTCAGTGCCTTAGTGGTACAGAGGGTTCTGTTAAATATTTTATCTTTATGAACAATTCAGCACTAACAGGTCCATATCGAAGGACTAGTCTTAAAACCCAACACCCTTTAAATGTGTTATTCACAGCCTGTCCTGAGCTGTTCAATTTGCAATGGAAATGGAAGCACATGAGTGTTGAGGATTGTGTATTAAATGCATTTTCAGTCAATTAAAGCACTGTAATCACCCAGACCTCTTCAATGACATGAAGTAGTTGGTGTGCAGAGACGGCTGTTTTTCTCTAGCAATGTAAAACATTTCCGTTTAGGAGATACAGCAATGTTCTGAAGGGTTAAACACACCTCGTGTCTAATTGGTAGTTAATTGTCACTCACTATAACCAGAAAGGGCATCAGTAAATCAGACATGGTTCCCAACACCTTGTGAAAATGGTATGACAAAACAGGCACATGTAAAGGGATTTACTGCGCCTAAAAAGAACAGTACAAACCTCCTACAACTTTAGTGGTGTTATCCCCACCACGGATATAATGGAAGCAAGATGCCAAGATAAAAAAAGTGAAAGCTTATAGAAGTAACATACTATAAAATCATTAAAAACAATCAAAATAGAGCACATTGTGTTCATGGCGGGGATCAAACCACCAACGGTCTCCACACCCAGAGCAGGTCCATGCTCTGGAATTTGTAAGTAGGATAACTTTGTTTTATTACAGATACCATCCTATATAATGGACCTCTGATCCATGTCTTTGAATAAATCACTGCACCTTGTTCTGGAAGACATCTGGTGTCCCTGATTGTATACTATGATGGGAATTGTACCACCCAAGCTGATAACTATTGAGCTTTCAATAGCTCCACAAATTGTGAGTGTGTTTTGGCTTATCTACTAAATATCTGCACTGTATTTTTATATTGCACTGCTATCTGTTTTTATACTTTTGTCTTTTTAAGCTTTATAATGTGCTGTATATGACGATTCCCACAGAACATGTGTATGTATATTTATTTATATTATTATGTGTAGGTGGTTTGCACTGTTCGTTTTTGGTGCAGTAAATCATTTTATATTTGCCTGTTTTGTTACACTGACAGCCACTTGATGTCCAGAACCAAGTCTGTATCCTGAACCGAGCCTGACTCTGTTTCTTGATATTTGACATCAATGCATCTCGTAGAGGAGCATTGGATTCAATGCATCTCTATGAGAATAATTTGATTGGTAAAACACGGCGCTTTCTGTGCATAGGCTCCACAACAGAATAATTAAGTTTTGTGTAACTTTACCTTTACCTAATTTATTTTCCAGATGTTATGTGCTTGAATAGGATGAACATTAATATCACTAAAAACAACGTTTCTGCAGATATAGGTATGCATTTTTTCTGTTAAACTATTTCTTTTTAATTACCGACTCCCTTCACTGCTGTTCCCCATATCTCTTTATTCTTAATATCTGCAATTTAGAACTTATCCAGTCAATATCATTCACAACCGGTTCTTCTTTAGAGCTGCTCCTCACTTTTTTTTCAGATTTTTTTTATAATTTGAAATAAAAGCACAAAGAACTGCTGCAGCAGTCAAAGTGGAACTTTCTTGATAAATCCTATTAAAAAGGAAACTATTATCCAACTAAACATTGATGTTCACTGTATAACCTTATTTTAGTGGTGTATTACCGGAAGTCTCATTGGGATTGGACATCCGACAAGATCTAACTTGTTCAACATTGAAGAGGAATAGTGCGCGCAGTTTGGGCAGATTCTAAACACAGGCTGTATGGATATTATTCTGGGGATAGAAAGTTTATGAGAGATTACACCACAAAGATTACAACGAAGGAGGATGCAATACAGTGTAAAGAATAAAGAGAAAAGATAGCAATTTCAGTTAAAGAAAATATAGATGGTAGACATGTCGGTTAGCAGGAGGATGAGGAGGCAAAGTCCAACTTTGGGAATCAAGGAGCACGTCAGGCCTCCCACCAGCATTTTCTGAAAAGCAGATATTAAAATACATTAGTATTTGTATTTGTAAGTAAAATGTCAACCAGATTTGCAATCCTCATATTAACTACATGGAAATTTTCTCTCGCTGCTCACTATTTAGCAGATATGTCCCAAACCATGGTCAGTGTCAGAGGCAGAATAAGGGAGCATAACATTTTCCTGACAGATTTACGTGGGTCGTATTTACTCCCATAGGCTATTATTATATTTTTCACTTTTTCTAGACAACAACCACATTACCGTATATACTCGAGTATAAGACGAGTTTTTCGGCACAATTTTTGTGCTGAAAAACCCCCACTCATCTTATAATCAAGTGAGTGTCTGTATTATGGCAACTTACATTGCCATAATACAGACCAGGACCGCCGGACTCATTACAAGCCTGGCGGTCCTGTTGGGGACTGGCAGAGAGTTGTAACTTACCTTTCCTGCAGCTCCTGTCAGCTCCCTTCTCTCTCCTCTGGTCCGGTCAGCTCCCTTCTCCTCCAGTATAAGTCTCGCAAGAGCCACGGGGCAGTCTCTGCCAGCCCCCCTCCTACACAGCCCATCCACTGGACCACCAGGGAATGAGAGCCCCCTCCCTGGCCATGTATCAAGCAGGGAGGGGGGACAAAAAATATAAATAAAAATGTAAATAATACTATAATAAAAATATTAATAATATTAAAATAAAATAAAAAAATTAATATTAAAAAGAAAACAAAATTTAATATTAAAATAATAATAATTAAAACATTTTTATAAAAATGCCCACCCCCCACCAAGGTTACACACTCTGCATCACATACACACACACACACACTGCATTATATACACACACACACTGCATTCATATACACACACACTGCATTATATACACACACACTGCATTTATACACACACACTGAATTCATACACACACTGCATTCATACACACACACACTGCATTATATACACACACACACTGCATTCATTACTTCGATTAATGTAATTTTTGGGGGATCTAATTTTATTTAGAAATTTACTAGTAGCTGCTGCATTTCCCATCCTAGTGTTATACTCGAGTCAATATGTTTTCCCAGTTTTTGGGGGTAAAATTAGGGGTCTCGACTTACACTCGAGTATATACGGTACTTAATCCTAGCACTGCTGAGAGATTTGTTTTAACTATTTGTAAGCTGGCTGCCAGTCCTTCAGATAATAGGTTTGGAAGTTTATATAGAAATATAGAACTGGATTTTAACAATCTAGGCGCATGTTTTGAGTGCTTAGATCTGGATTTCAGCTGTTTACGTTCATCCGCACAGGCTGAAATACATCTAAAAAGTTCTGGTTTATTCGTAGTCAGTATTGCGATATCCAGACATGGGTAACTAGTGTGGACAATGTCAGAATTTTGCAGTCCGGTGGCTGCGAGATGGATCAACTAGGAGAATCCGAGCTTTAGCGAATCGTCTTGTCATTTTGCAATGCCTGATGTTAACCTATGTTATTACTCTTTCCTTAGTCCTCCAAATAATTGCCATGAAGCCTTGTTCATGGAATGTCATGGCAGAATCTATCATGACCCCATTCTTTATGTGCATAATCCTGAGTACATGATTCCACAGACAAAAAAACTAAACAAAAACAAACAAAAAAAATCAAATTAAATTGGAAATCCCTATTTTAAAATAATACAAAATACTTATAATAATATTTGGAATACATAAATAACACAAATGTACAAATTCCTTATAATGTTATAATAATAATAATACCAAACATATATAAAAAGTGCAAAAAACAATATATAATAATTAAAACCTATAATGAGAATCAAAATCCATTGTTTGGCAAGTGAATATAAAGGAAGAATCTAGCAATATTGCCAGTGGGCGGTAATGTTTAGCGTGCCCCTTTCCTTATTATTATAATACAGCAGCAAGCCGACCGACATGCACAGACATCACAAAACACCAACGATTTGTTTGTTTTTAATAAACTAATAAGAAGATTTGGAAGATTGGAAGTACTCCAGTAATCCAGGATGGGGCTCTGTAAACCAGAGACAGTTATTACAGCAGTGATTTGAAATAGTGCAAGTCAGGCAAATGTGATGTTGTGGTAATTTGACATTTAGAAAGTTATAACAGCTTCAAAATGGCTGCCAAACCTAATGACTGACTGTATAGACGCCCATGCATTCTCAATGCAGAGAAGTAAATTGCAAATTTTATTAAAATATTTGTGACTCTGCAACATTGGCCCTATATAAATCAGAACAGCTGCCTGAGGCGAAGACATATGTAAATCACATCACAGCTATTTATCAGTACATTGATTTTAAAATAATATAACTAAATGGAAGGCAAATCACATTATTATTGATTTTTCCTGAACAAATGTGAATATAGTCCATAACATATAAAAAACAGAGAAAATAGGAAGCGAAAAAAGAGGGAAATGCACTCTTATAGGGGTTAACCCTTACTGGACTACAGCAGTAGTAAGACAAAAGGAGAGAAAAGGTGAGTGCCCTCAAATTAAAATGTAACTTTTAATACTAAATTCGTTAAAACAGTTAGTACGATGTAACCAAAATAATTAACAAAAATACAATATTCATAAGCTCGTAATAATAGATGGAAAATACAATACTGAAGGAACAATTGATTTCCTAAAAATGAATACCAGTAAATTGATAGAGGAGGTCCTGTTCAAAAGTTTTCAGGATAAATCTCCAAATTATATGCAGGAAAACCAAGCAGGTTTTCTTAAGCATTGAAATATGTACATCAATATGGTAACATAAAAGGAAAGAAAAAGTCCATAAAGTAGAACTTGCTACATAGAGTGGTGTAACAAGATGAGGTTCTGGAGGTCTTGAGTGATAAAAAAGCCTAGATATATTAGTAGCTTTTATGTAAAGATCATAATGTTAACCCCATGGAACCCCATTCATAGTGCTTGTTAGATCCAAACAAAAGGCACTAAAGAGAATATAGTGATATGAGACAAATTGTTCTTCACTATATGAATAACTCCTGCAGTGGGAATAGAGATCACTGCCAAATTTGATAAAGAATATGTGCTCAGTGGACCCCCCACTATATAGCTGGAGTAGGGCTGAATATCGATATATAAACTCTGGAGTCTAATAACCATCAAAACAGACGCCAATACTATAGTTTGTGAGGGTATACCGATAGAGCCCTTTCCCCTGACGCGCGCGTTTCGCCCACAGCTCATCAGAAGGGAACCGATGTGTGGGAAAGAAACCGATATAAAAGGGTAGATGTAAGCATTTGATTGGTCTAATTCAAAATTTGTCATACCTAGTTAACCAATAGAACCAGAGTCAGTGAGTGACGTCACTGAAATTCCCAAGTGAGTCCCAACTGCTGAAGTGTATTGGTTTTAACCCCTTCCGGACCATCTCACAAAGAGAATGAGGTCCAGGGGAGTGATATATAAATGCCGTTGCCATTGTCAGTATGTTTGATCTTGAATTAATGTAACTGGAATCCCAAGATATATGAGAAATTTTCTCGTTATGAAAAAAGGGGGGAGGGAGGGGCTTAGCGATGGTACCGGATTCATGCCGATACCACATGCAAAACTAAAGCTCCTGAATTAGCAAATCTGTCAATTTTAGTTAAAGTCAATGAGTTAAAAAATAATACGAAAGGCACATTCCGATATTTATAATAGTGATTGACAGACACCAACAACCTTAACGGGAACATAATCTTTCTTGGTTAGAGCAGGATATTGCCAATAATCATCGAGATAATAATAAAACAGGGATAATACATAGCCCAATTCTCAAAAAGATGCTAATGAATGTAAAAATATATATTTGAACCGATATGTTCACTCCAATAGGGATTAATAATATTCATACAGCAAGGAAAACCTTGCTGTTCCCAATAATAATGATATTACAGGACACACATGGTAAAAAAAGGGGGGGGGAAGAAAAAGGGGGGGAGTGAATATACAAGATGTGTATAATACTAAAGGTAAGGCAGAGGATGAGACTGAACTACAATGTTTTTCGCCAACCAGTTCAAACAATTGTATGATAATTAACTTTAAAGAGACAGTGCCTAATCATAGGTACTGTCCGATCTGATTGAAGTAAAGATTGTTGCAGTATAAAAGAGTGTGGTCAAAAATAGTCTCATTTAAAAAAGTTAGGGTGAGAAATGTCCTGAGATTATTGATCATAGATGTTTAAGACAAATAAAAGAAAATCAGTAATCATTCAAAGAAGCAAATATCCACCAGACTTAACATTGAACTGAAGCTGCTTAATTAGGCAACGAAGAAGAACTTATTATAATGTGTTATTATTATAATTTTAATGAATAAAGGGGGTAAAGTTAAATTCCTCATTGAGGCCCCCTGGTGTTAAGGTTTGAAATTCATATATCCATCTTGATTCCTTTTGCAGTAAAATTAAATTGAAGTTGCCTTTTCTAGAATTTAAAGTGACCCTTTCTAGGGCTTGGAATGATAGACTAGTTGGATTGCCATCATGAAAGTTCCGAACGTGATTTGCAACAGGGGTACTTAAATTGAGATTTTTTACCGAGTTGATATGTTGAAGAATACGTCTCCTAAATTCCTGATAAGTTTTGCCAATGTATTGCATACCACATTGACAAGTAATGACATAGATAATTCGTGTCGTACTGCAGTTAATGAAATGTTTGACTCGGTACTCTTTTTGAGTTTTCTGACATTTGACCATTTTGGAAGTTTTGACAAAGGGACATGCTTTGCAATGTCCACATTTGTGGATGCCAGTTGGGGCACTTAACCAGCAACTTGGTGATGGTTTATTTTCCAAGTGGCTATGGACTAGCATGTCCTGAAGATTTTTTGACCTTCGTGCAGTGATGTTGGGGTACGCAATATGTTTAGGATCCAAGTCCTTATCATACTCTAAAATCGGCCAATGTTGTGTAAAGATTTGTTTAATGGGTTGCCATTTTTGATCGAAAGTGCCTATACATCTTGTTAACTGGCTGCTAGGCGTAGGTCTAGTAGATCGAAGACTTAGACTTCTATCTTGGGCTATGGTTTTTTGGTATGCTTTTTTAAGGATCCGGTTTGGATAGCCTTTATTTTTGAATCGAATTTTTAGTCTTTTAGCTTCGGCTTGGAAGGCCTCTTCATTTGAGCAATTCCTTCGAGCTCTCAGATACTGGCCGTACGGTATGCTTGCTTTCAGGCGGTAGGGATGGAAACTTTGCCAGTGCAGAAGGCTATTGGAAGCCGTACTTTTCCTAAATAGTTCCGTATCTACAGTTCCGTCGGTATTTAATAGAATTCTTAAATCTAAGAATTCCAATTGGGTTTCGTGAATCACATATGTGAGTTTAAGACCAATATTATTCACATTTAGTTCATTAACCATATCTATGAACTTTGGGCAAGAACTGGTCCAAAATATTAGGATGTCATCAATGTACCTTAGCCACTTGTGAATATATATAGTCCATAACATAGCTCCATACACAGTTTCAACCTGGAACATTTTAGAGAAATATGTTGATACATTTTGCAAAAAAATGTGTCACATGGCACCCACATTTCATCAAAAACTTGCACTTTATGCTTGGGTAGCCATAACTGTCTTTAAAGTGTGTGTATATATATATATATACCCTTGCAAGAAAAGGTATGTGAACCCTTTGGAATGATATGGATTTCTGCACAAATTGGTCATAAAATGTGATCTGATCATCATCTAAGTCACAACAATAGACAATCACAGTCTGCTTAAACTAATAACACACAAAGAATGAAATGTTGCCATGTTTTTATTGAACGGGATTTTGTAGGTCCCTATACTATAGAGTGTACAGCTCCAGTAGAGCTTGCGCCTACCTAGCACTCGGTAAAACACATAAACAAAAGAGAGAAGCAACATATGCACCAATAAAAGATATATATGTGAGGCATTAAACAGTAGTATGAACGACATGTAATGTAACAACTGCTACGGGTGTAAAGCAAGGCTCCACCCATGCAAATTCCATCCATAGTCACGGCACCCTAATTTGTGATCCGCCGGCACCTCGTAATGAATGTAGTGGTAGCAGCAGAATCCCAGGAATCCAGTGAGGATCTTGTACTTGGAGTTGTGGCAGGGTCTGTTGAAACCAGACTTGTCAGGAAAGCGGAGATGTCCTCCTTGGAAGATAACACCTATCTAGTCCCATCATGAGTCACCTCTAGAAAGCCAACTGCCCCCCATCTGTATGCCAGACCCACCGTACATAGTTGCATAGTGACTGCTTGTGCCACATGAGAGTTGCTCTGGTGAGAAGCTGGGAGAAAGTGAAGAGTTCTCGAACGTTAGAGGAGTTTTGCCTTTCAGAGCAGACATAATGTTGATCTTATGTTGGACTGTAATATGGCGAAGAATCACACCTCGGCCTGCGGTGACCTGGCAGTCGGTACACCCCACCAATGGTCAATTTCTTCACCACTGCATGGGGTAATGTCGTCTAATGTGTCAGCGTCTTTGCGGGTCTTCAAGGCCAACATTTTGTGTGACATTATGCTGACTGATGCTTCTTTTGCACAGTATAAGCCAATGAGGCAAGGTGTCTCTGTACAGTCACAATATCATCTTCAGCTGCCCCCACTCCATAACCCCTTTTACCTCCATTTTAATTAAGTTGGTGTCCGCCGCTTGTGTATGTCCACAAGAAGAACCTTCAGGTCATGTCTAGTGGTCGGGGTCGAGTCATTGGCAAGCTCACCCGATATCGTCAGAAGCGTTCAGGACTCGACCGTTATTACTAGCCACTGTGGGACCAGAGTTGGAATGACCTGTGATTCCTTTGCTGGAGCGGGTTCATGGTCCCAATGCCAACTGCAGTGTTGTGGATTTTTTGGGACCTGTGTCCCATAGTGGGCATACCTGCCAGTAGTGCAGGCGGTGGGCGGAATGTAGTGAGTCCGTTCACAGAACCACCACTCAGAAACTCCTCAAAGCCTGGGAACCGTGTCTTGAGGTAGGCCCCGGATTTGTGAGTCCACTTGGGCTGTTTTTGCAAATAGGTGAAAGGGATCTTGATGCAGCTTGTCCTGCTGATTCAGGAGAGATAGTTTGTGGACCCAGATTGACAACAGAGATGTTGATATTAGTAGGATTGTGAAAGTTTGTAGAGGAGCTGGTGGAAATAGTGTTGTAACGGACCGTTTTGCACACAAGGGGTAAAAACCGTTTAGGCGATCGTCCCCCTTTCCAGAGATGCAGGCACAGCTATTGTAGAACACCAAACACACGAACCGCCAATAAGTGAATGCTCCAAACTCCCGAACAGCATCCAATATAGCACTCCAAACACACGAACAGGAACCATACGAATCGCTGCTAGCAGACGAATAGGAAAAGCATCCAAGCGGCTTACACTCCTAGCAATCAGTCTCTATCAGCATTCAGTAAATCCCCCCAAAGACGAGACAAGGCTCCGTGTTGAGGGTCAAGCAGTGGTCTGTTTAATGAGGGCTACCTGCCCAGTATTTATGCAGGTCTCCCACCTGGTGGACACTCCCCTAGGGGACCAAATGGGAGACTGTGACAAAAGACAGACAAGTAGACAAATAGGACACACAGTCACATTATATTCCCACAATGCATCCTGGCTTCCTCCCCTCTGCCTTGGAGATAATTGAGAAGTAATTCAATTATCTCCCAAGACAAAGGCAAATCGCCATTATGCACGTGGGGATACTAACACACGAATTACTATTAAAATACACTATGTGAGACACATAACATTAAAAGCATACATTTAACATATCCCCAGATAGCTCAGGTCTGAGCGCACATTATTAAGCGAATGGCGCTCAGACCACACGAATACAGTTTAATCGCCATGGAGCTAAAGTCTTTACACAGTCAGTTTCATGTGAATGGGCTCCATGAGATTCCTATCTGGGGTATAACACATTCAAGCAAAACTACCGAACACCGGGCCGTTCGTGCACTTTCACCAAACAAGAAGGGAGGTCGGCGGCTTCAGCAGTGTTTGCGCAAAACTGTGTCCGATTTCAGTTCCATGAATTAAGTGTCGAACACCGCTGTGCGTTCGCATGTTTAAAATGGCCGCGACCTCGTGTTCGTGATACAAATGGCGGCCACCCAGCATATGTCAATTAAGCTGCGGTTAACCGCAACTTCAGGGAGGCTAATTGCCAGCACACTCCAGCTCCCAGGTGGTCCAGTCATTCGTGCGGTTGTTCGGTAGACTGAATCTACCGAACACCAGGCAGAAAAGCATGAATAAGTCTTTTCTGCAGGGAAAAACAATGTCTTTTAACATGGGGCCATAGTCCAAAGGCAGCAGGCGAGCAACCGGGCTTCTCAAATGCAATGTGGCGAGATTGGTCTTGTGACGGACCGCTGGCACTCCGACTGAGTACCTCCGCCAATCGATGCTCCTAGTGCTCGCTGAGGACTCCAAGCACTCCAACCGACACCATCAGCACTGCAGACCCCACTTCCAGCGATGCAACTGCGCCGGGGTCTCTGCTGTCTCCACCCACCCTGGACCCAAGGCCAGGATCCAGCTTCCAGTGAGTGAACCTCTCTTTCCCCAGAGAGCAGGAACAGGAACAGCTCTTAACAGAACTTAGTGATCATACCCTGGGGAGTATAGTGATTATAGCAATCCCCAGAGTGTATTTCTCCAATCCCCCAAACATGAGCCAAGGCTTAATGCTGGAACAAGACTGATTTACTGGCACACAGAACTCACAATTTATGCAACACAAAACTCCTCCTCTGGGCCAGGCTAGATAATTGAGTTTCTACAATACACAAAGGTCAATTATCTGCTGGCCATAAATAATAATAATACAGTTTTTACAGCATTCATAACTTCTAAAATATACATCACATTCACTCCTATCATACTGAATTAAACGGGCCAAATCTCCCAGGGTCCATAGTCACAGGGCAAGAGGCAGGCAAGCAGTCCTCTCCAGGCACAAGTGGTGAAGGGCACTTCGTCACAGGTCTCGTCACAAGTGTTTAGTAAGGATGGTGGACAAGCTTCACCAACCTTTAAGGTATATGTTTACCCTCTCAAAGCTGCACATGGGGTAAGGTTACAACAATTGAAAAAAAAAAACTACTACATTTTAATCCTTCTCACCAAAGTCTCGTGGCCATATTATTAACAAACACACCACAACCCAAGGTGGAGGGCTACAGTAGTGGAAAAATCTTCACGTTCTTCCTAATTAATAAAGTGTCATGTAGACATGGATTTTATTTTTTATTTTCCTTTTATTTATTTATAAAACAAATGTACCACTTGCCCGCTGAAAAGATTAACCAATGTATATCCATGTCCACATATGATCTAGGAACTTCTTGTACTAGAATTTGACATGAGGCTGGAGCTTTAAATTATACATTCAATATAGGGACAGAATGTGTGATGACAAATTACAATTTTAAAAGACAGAAAATATTTTAGATTAGTTGTGACGGTCCGCTGGCACTCCGACCGAGTACCTCCACCAATCGATGCTCCTAGTGCTTACCGAGGACTCCAAGCACTCCACCAGACACCATAAGCACTGCAGATCCCACTTCCAGCAATGCAGCTGCAACGGGGTCTCGCAGTCCTCCACCCACCCTGGACCCAAGACCAGGATCCAGCTTCCAGTGGGTAGACCTCTCCTATTTCAGAGAGCGTAGCAGGAACCAGCTCTTACAAGAGCTTATACTCAGGGGAGTATTGTGATTATAGCAATCCCCAAGAGTGTAGTTATCCCATCCCCAAAACATGAGACAAGACTTCATGAAGGGGTAAAGCAGGTCTGTTTAATGCAAGCAAGCATTCACAATTTATACAACCCCTGGACCTGATGGAACACAGATACACAAGGGACATAAACCAATCAAAACAGTCATTAACAATAAGACACTCCCACATACAGTGAACAAGCCCTCCCCTCTGCCTGGTAAATAATTAAAGCAGCTAATAGAATAACCTAATTATCCACAGGCAGAAAAACACACATTTTCCCTAAAGTACAGAAAACACCCAGAAACACAACATATCCCCAAAATATTACATTCCTGGATAGCCCTGATCTGGGTAAACAACATATCCAAAAATCACACAGATCAGAGCAGGTGTTCAGGAAATTCCTGGAAGTCACATTTGACCGACCGCATGCACATTTTCATGACCAAAACAGTTTAATAGAAATAGGCTGTGCGACCGGTCTATCTTCAATGCTAAGTTCAGTTCAAATAGACAAACAGGAACCTTTCGTGCAAACAGGCAATGTTTAAGTGCTGTTGGAATTGTCAAACGGCGTTCGACTCCAGTTGAAGGGTTGAAGTCCAGAGAAGGTAAAGTTTCCGATTTGAGTTCCATGAACTTGACGACAAAACACAGCTGAACTCGTTCGACTGAATTAAAATGGCCGCCGCCACGTGTTCGAATATCAAAGGCGTTTGTTACATGTGAGCTTACAGAGGAAAAGGTCCTATTTCAACTGTCAAAGGTCAGTGGGACCTGATGGAATACACTCAAAGTTATTAAAAGAGCTTAGTGGTGTACTAGCAAAACCATTAACATATTTATTTAACCAATCATTGTTAACAGGAGTAGTCCCAGAAGATTGGAAGTTAGCAAATGTTGAGCCCATTTACAAGAAAGGTAATAGGGAGGAGTCGGGCAACTATAGGCCGGTAAGCCTTACTTCAGTAGTGGGGAAATTGATGGAAACCATGTTAAAGGATAGGATTGATGAACATCTAAAAACGCATGGATTTCAAGATCAGAGACAACATGGGTTTACTTCAGGGAGATCATGCCAAACTAATCTTATTGATTTTTTTGATTGGGTAACTAAAATTATAGATCAGGGTGGTACAGTAGACATTGCTTACCTAGATTTCAGTAAGGCTTTTGACACTGTTGCACATAGAAGGCGTATCAACAAACTGCAATCTTTAAAGGAACCATAGTCACCAAAACAGTTTTAACTTAATAATGCAGTTTTGGTGTATAGATCATTCCCCTGTAGTCAATCCTCTGCCATTTAGGTTACATCGCTTTGTTTATTCAGCCCTAGTCACACCTCCCTGCATGTAACATGGACTTCCAAAATACTTCCTGTAAAGAGTCATCTCATGTTTACACTTCCTTTATTGAAAATTCTATTTAATTTATACTTTCTTATCTCCTGCTCTGTCAATAGCTTGCTAGACCTTGTAGAAGTCTCCTGTATGTATCTAGAGTACAATTTAAAGAGCAGGAGATAAAAACTTTCAGTAAGTAAGTTACAGCTGATTGAAAGTGCAACCAATTTTTTTTTAATGGAGGCTGTGTGAGTCAAAGCCAGGAAGTGTGGCTAGGACTGCATAAACAGAAACCAAAGTGATTTTACTCCTAAAGGCAGAGAATTGTGCAGTGAGACTGCAGGGGCATAATCTATACACTATAAATGTTTCATTAAGATAAAGGTGACTATAGCGTCCCTTTAGGTTTGGATTCCAATATTGTTGAATGGGTAAGGCAGTTGCTGAGTGACAGGCAACAGAGGGTTGTAGTTAATGGAATATATTCGAAGCTCGGGCTTGTCACCAGTGGGGAACCTCATCGATCTGGACTTGGACCCATTCTCTTTAATATTTTTATTAATGATATTATAGAAGGTCTTGATGGTAAGGCAAATGTTTTTGCCGATGATACTAAGATGATACTAAGATATTTAACAGGGTTGATGTTCCAGGAGTGATAAGCCAAATGGCAAATGATTTAGGTAAACTAGATAAATGGGCAGAGTTGTGGCAACTGACATTTAATGTGGATAAGTGCATCTTGGATGTAAAAACCCAACGGCAGAACAAAGGTATTAGCAGCAGAAAGAGGGAAGAGCTCATGCCATTGTACAGAACACTGATGAGACTTACTTGGAGTAATGTACGCAGTACTGGAGACCGCATCTCCAGAATCATATTGATAATTTGGAGAGAGTTCACAGAAGAGCTACTAAACTGGTTCATGGATTGCGGGATAAAACTTACCAGGAAAGGTTAAAGGATCTTAACATGTATAGCTTGGAGGAAAGACGAGACAGGGGGGATATGATAGAAACATTTAAATATATAAAGGGAATCAACACAGTAAAGGAGGAGACTATATTTAAAAGAAGAAAAACTACCACAACAAGAGGACATAGTCTTAAATTAGAGGGACAAAGGTTTAAAAATAATATCAGGAAGTATTACTTTACTGAGAGGGTAGTGGATGCATGGAATAGCCTTCCAGCTGAAGTGGTAGAGGTTAACACAGTAAAGGAGTTTAAGCATGCGTGGGATAGGCATAAGGCTATCCTAACTATAAGATAAGGCCAGGGACTAATGAAAGTATTTAGAAAATTGGGCAGACTAGATGGGCCAAATGGTTCTTATCTGCCGTCACATTCTATGTTTCTATGTTTAACTAGATTTACAGACAAAAAATACATTTGGGGCTTCTATTTTGTTTGAAAACATACAGAGCCCAGTAAATCAATTGGTAAAATTGCTAAATTTTAAAAAAAAAACTATAACTTTTCAAAACTCTACATGTGATTTATTGCTGTAGTTGCTGCAGAGATCTGGGTTTTTGTAGTGAAAGACTCACAAGGTCTGCGTTTAGCCCCACAAAAAATACATATGTGCAAAATACACAAATACAAACAGCAGATTTTAATTAAATACAAACAGCAGATTTTAATTAAATACAAACAGCAGTTTTGGCAAAGGCTGGTGAGAAAATGTATGAAGATACTCTTAGGGAGTCTACTGTCTACAAATATAGAGCAGTTTTAAATGATGTGACTGCTATTCAAATTAGAACAATAAGCATACCAAATTTAAAGAGACACTATAGACACACCAAACCAACTTTAGCTTAATGAAGCAGTTATAGTGTGTAAATCATGCCCCTGTAGTGTCTCTGCTCAATTCTGTGCCATTTAGGAGTTAAATAATTTTTGTTTCTGCTTACGCAGTTCAAGCCACACCTCCCCTGGCAGTGATTCATACAGCCTGCATGAAAAAAATGGTTTACTTTCAATCAGATGTTAACTTACTTTAACCATTTTGATCCCCTGCTCTGTAAATTGAACTTTAATCACTCACAGGAGACTCCTGCAGGGTTAGCAAGCTATCAACAAAGCAGAACACAAGAAATTCTAAATTAAACAGAATTTGTTATAAAGGATGGATAAACTTTAGATGATTTTTAACAGGAAGTGTGTAGGAAAGGCTGTGCAAGTCACATGCAGGGAGGTGTAACTAGGGTTCATAAACAAAGTGATTTAACTCCTAAATGGCATAGAACTGAGCAGTGAGACTGTAGGGGCATGATCTATACACCAAAACTGCTTCATTAAGCTAAAGTTGTTTTGGTGACTATAGTGTCCCTAATGATTTAGCTTTAGAACTTGATTCACTTGTTGGAATATTTGTCCTGTAATTTCCAAAATAAATGTAAATCCTAAACATAAGAGGTATTTTAACAATCAAGACTGATAAGTGAATCTTTTTGAGTTTTCAAGGTTACACATTTACAATTATTATACACAATTCTATGAAAAATGTGTTGTCTCCCCCACCCCCATTTTTCATAAGCTACATTTTTTTTTATTATCACTAAATATTTATTTATTCACTTTTGTTAGCATATTTATGGGGATTAATTATTATTAATTAATTTTCATGAATTAAAAATAATGTTTATAAAACTCATTAAAATTAAAATTCTTTATTAAAATATCAGGGGTTGATATTTTATTGGTGTGAATTCCCAGCTATTCATTTAAAAGCGAAGAGTTCCCACTATTTAACTCTTACATCTAGAGCACGTTGTTTGAATTTAATATTTCATTAATATCACAACTTTTTATAAAATTATATTTATTTTCGTCAATAAGTATAAATATACGTGGTAATTAGTGAATAGTTTTTCAATAATATTGAACAAGATACGGCATAGTACCGTATCACAATCTCAGTAACAATGTCAATCTCAATCAACAAATAGTATGTTACTATTTGTCAAATTATAAGGAACCATTTCTCAGGATCTTAAAATACAATCTTAGCTTTTTACAATTTCTTAGTACAATTTACAAACACATGTGGATTGTTTGTGTGACAAAATGCCTTTTGTCAATGGATTTTTATATGACCAACTGCCCTTTGCCCCTGGCTGTTGGAGGAGCCTGATTGCCAGCCTCCTCTCTCATGACTATGGCCCTGGGGTGTATTGCCATTTAAAAAGATTATTTGGGGCTTATTGGCTTCTAAAAGACTGTTTCTGCCCATTTGAATCCATGGGAATATGTGTCTCTTCCCCTCCCCCGTTTCCTGTCTATTGTTCCAGCAGGGCGTTGTCCCAGGCACAGTGACAGACCAGTTGGAACTTGCTGTTTTGCCCCTCCTCGGTCTCTCATCAGCTCTTGCTATGTTTTAACCCCATGGCGATTTGACTGTGTTTGTGGGATCTGAGTGCTGTTCAGATATAGTGAGCGCTCAGATCCAAGCTATTTGGGGATAGGTTGAATGTGGGGGTTATGTTAAGTATAATAGGAATTATGTATTTTTATGTGTTTTTACTGTTGTTGTGAATAGAGCTATTTTCTGTATGCTGGAGGTAATTGGCTTACCACACCCAACCCATGCTTGCAGATGGTCACAAAGGGACTTTCAACTAACCTTTGACCCACTGGACCAATTTGTATGGTTTTGACGTATGTTTGTATTTGGAGTATGTTGATTCTGAAAATGTAAGTTTTATGTGAATGTGATGTATACTTTTAGAGTTATGAATATTGTGTAAAACTGTGTATTTTCCTGCCTGTGATAATTAAGTTAGACCAAAAAATGGGTCGCAAGAGTATTCTGAGAACGGACAGCAGCTGAAATAGCCTGCCCTTCGGTGGGTCCCCGCTCAGAACTCAAGCTTGTTTTAGCTCATCTTGTGCCATTACAGAGAGAACATATCTGAAGCATATCAGACTGGTCCCACCCATACAGGCAGTCCAGATCCGAAATGCCAGCAAGTTCTCTCTGCACGAGAGATACAGCAAAGTCAGACGATCGTTTCAGCCTTGTTAGGCATCATCGGTGAGGCATAGTTGATATCTCTCTAGGCACCGTGAGCAAGGGGTCCACGTCTGGATTACCCTTTAAACTTATGGAGAGCAAAAAACGGGTCACAAGAGTATTCTGAGAACGGACAGCAGCTGAAATAGCCTGCCCTTCGGTCGGTCCCCACTCAGAACTCAAGCTTGTTTTAGCTCATCTTGTGCCATTACAGAGAGAACATATTTGAAGCATATCAGACTGGTCCCACCCATACGGGCAGTCCAGATCCGAAATGCCAGCAAGTTCTCTCTGCACAAGAGATACAGCAACCCAAGACAATCATTTCAGCCTTGTTAGGCATCATCAGTGAGGCATAGCTGATATCTCTCTAGGCACCATGAGCAAGGGGTCCACGTCTGGATTACCATTTATACTTATGGAGAGCACAAAACGGGTCGCAAGAGTATTCTGAGACCATTGTGTTCAGTAATTATATCACAGGCAGAGGGGAGGACTTTGTGTGGGAGCGTCGGAGTGTATTGTATGTATTGATTGGTTGTTCTGCAAAACCCTGTGGGCAGTACTATGTTTGTAGAATGTGAATAAAAGAGGCTGAATGTGCCAGTACAGTCAGTTCTACTTCATCTACTTCAATTTGGAGTGCCGTCTCTTATTAGGGGAATTTGCTACGCTCTGCATACTCTCTTGCTATATTCACTGCTAAGCTCTTATAAGAGCTTGTTCCTGTCTTGCGCTCTGAAGGAGTCCACGGTGGTTATGGTGTCGGCTGGAGTGCTTGGAGCCTTCAGGAAGCGCTAGGAGCATCCTTCAACGGAGGTACCCAGTCGGGGTGCCAGGTGATCCGTTACATTAGTGGCAGCGGTGGGATGCTTGGAGACCTCAGAAAGCACTAGGAGCATCTGTCAGCGGAAGGTACCCGGTCGGGGGGTGCCAGCGGTTCCGTTACAGTTTTCTTATTTTAAACACCATTCATTAGACTTAGCTGGACAGAGTTCGTTATTTAATCAGGTGATCTATACACAAAGTTCCATGGCAATGTTTTACCAGCAAGCACAGAATTTTAACCAGCTCAGTGCTGTTTCAGAGTAATCATGATCAATTAATTCATCCAGTAACTAAATTCTTGCAGGTTTAGTTTAAACAGTTCTTATCTGATAAATATTTCCTAGATTGTTATAGGATTAATATTCCTGGGTAACTCTTGATATTCCATTTTTTTTGTATTTCATGATTTTGATTAATATTCCAGTCGGCAGTTTGAGATATTAATCTTTATCATGAGCTATCATGAAATCCAATCCGGTGGATTTCGTATCAGCTTTTATCCAGAAAATATTAGCTATTAGTTATGCAATTTTATAATTAGTATAATTGGCTTATATTTACTGATAGATGTTCTGGATGTTATTTTTAAGATTGTTTCAAGATGTCTTCTTGTCCGTCTCTTGTCTTGTGTCCTATCTCCTTTCTCCTTCTGTGTATATCTCTGTCTCCGTTTATGTGTGTTTTTCTGGGTGTGTATATAATGGGGTTATATGTCATTCCTTATATGTTAACCTGCTGACCTGGTCCAATGACGTTTTGGGGCAAGTCATTATGTTAATGGCTGTTGACATTATTTTGATATATATTTCTATGTCTCAAACAGTAGGTGGAGCTGGTGGTTTATGTCAGGAGTATTACCAGCTATTATTATATAGGGTTAAACTTTGTTCAGGACAATTTAGGAATGTTTAATTACAAGATGCTTTGGTCAACGTTTCTTCTTTTCTTTCTATGTGGACTTTAGTCTCACACCAATAAACCAATGTGTCCTTGCTCACCTAAGCGTTATGACAATTTCAGGATATTTACATTTTTATATGTATATCATTTCTATATATGTAAATTGCTAACTTGGGCTATATCACACTATATTTCTATCTTTATATATAATTAAACATAATTTATATACATCATAGCGATATATGTATGTTTGCTGAACACGTACTTTTAATTAACACTTACTTGTCACATACTTGTCTTATCTGTGTTCTTATCTTTTATTGAAACAGATGTATTTACTCACTATCTGGCTCTTTTAGCTTACAGGGTCATATTTTAAGAAAAAATATCTTGTTTCTTCATTTTAGCACCTAATAGAAACATAGAAACATAGAATGAGACGGCAGATAAGAACCATTCGGCCCATCTAGTCTGCCCAATTTTCTAAATACTTTCATTAGTCCCTGGCCTTATCTTATAGTTAGGATAGCCTTATGCCTATCCCACGCATGCTTAAACTCCTTTACTGTGTTAACCTCTACCACTTCAGCTGGAAGGCTATTCCATGCATCCACTACCCTCTCAGTAAAGTAATACTTCCTGATATTATTTTTAAACCTTTGTCCCTCTAATTTAAGACTATGTCCTCTTGTTGTGGTAGTTTCTCTTCTTTTAAATATAGTCTCCTCCTTTACTGTGTTGATTCCCTTTATATATTTAAATGTTTCTATCATATCCCCCCTGTCTCGTCTTTCCTCCAAGCTATACATGTCAAGATCCTTTAACCTTTCCTGGTTAGTTTTATCCCGCAATCCATGAACCAGTTTAGTAACCCTTCTCCGAACCCTCTCTAATAGCATTTTTGCTATTATGCATGTATTATTTCTATCACACACGATATACGTATTTCCTTCCTACATAATATCTCTGACATTTTCAATTGCTTTATTCTGAACCCTCTTGTCTTTGTTGCAGACTGGTGCAATCTCTTGGCTCCCAATAACACCCGGGAGTTCTATTTTCGATATGGAAATGGTACAAATTATACCTGTGTTACTTACTGCACCATGGGCGTACCAGGCAGATTAAACTGCAACTATGGGGAGTGTCATGTGTTAGCCAAATCAGGACCACGATGCTTGTAAGTAGCTCATTTTTGTAACTGATCTTCACATAGAAACATAAAATGTGACGGCAGATAAGAGCCATTTGGCCCATTTAGTCTGCCCAATTTTCTAAATACTTTCATTAGTCCCTGGCCTTATCTTATAGCTAGGATAACCTTATGCCTATCCCACGCATGCCTATTCCATGTAAAGTAATACTTCCTGATATTATTTTTAAACCTTTGCCCCTCTAATTTAAGACTATGTCCTCTTGTTGTGGTAGTTTTTCTTCTTTTAAATATAGTCTCCTCCTTTACTGTGTTGATTCCCTTTATGTACTTAAATGTTTCTATCATATCCCCCTGTCTCGCCTTTCCTCCAAGCTATTCATGTTAAGTTCCTTTAACCTTTCCTTTTAAGTTTTATCCCGCAATCCATGAACCAGTTTAGTAGCCCTTCTCTGAACTCTCTCTAAAGTATCAATATCCTTCTGAAGATACGGTCTCCAGTACTGCGTACAATACTCCAAGTGAGGTCTCACCAGTGTTCTGCACAATGGCTTGAGTACTTCCCTCTTTCTACTGCTAATACCTATATCTAGACAACCAAGCATTCTGCTAGCATTTCCTGCTGCTGTATTACATTGCCTGCATACCTTTAAGTCATCCAAAATAATCACCCCTAAATCCCTTTCCTCAGATATTGAGGTTAGGACTCTAACATAATGCTGCTCCCACCTATCTATCCTCCCTTATACACAAGTATGTCCCGTCTAGGCCCTTACGATCTACTGAAGACTTATGTCTCTCCTCTGTCCGTACTCCCACCTCTGATGCTCGCCTTTAAGATTTCTCAAGGGCTGCACCATTCCTGTGGAACTCGCTTCCCTCTTCCGTTAGATGCTCACCCAGTCTCCACTAATTCAAAAAATCGTTAAAAACCCACTTCTTCTTAAAAGCGTATCAATTAAACTGTTAATAGCTCCTGACTGATTGCTCTTCTGCAACTGTCATTAGTCTAATACTATCCTTACCTTTTTGTTTCATTTTACCCCACTCCCTCTAGCATGTAAGCTCATTGAGCAGGGCCCTTAACCCCTCTGTTCCTGTGTGTCCAACTTGTCTGGTTACAACTACATGTCTGTTCGTCCACCCACTGTAAAGCGCTGCGGAATTTGATGGCGCTCTATAAATATCATAATAATAATAATAATAATAATAATAATAATATCAAATATTTTGTACTTTGCCCTTGGGTTTTTACTTGCACTTATCCACATTAAATGTCAGCTGCCACAACTCTGACCATTTTTCTAGTTTACCTAAATTATTTGCCATTTGGCTTATCCCTCCTGGAACATCAACCCTGTTAACCCTTCTGCAATTTTACTAATAAAATATTAAAGAGAATGGGTCCAAGTACAGATCCCTGAGGTACCCCACTGGTGACAAGTCCAAGCTTCGAATATATTCCATTAACTACAACCCTCTGTTGCCTGTCACTCAGCCACTGCCTTACCCATTCAACAATATTGGAATCCAAACTTAAAGATTGCAGTTTATTGATAAGCCTTCCAAGTTACAACAGTGTCAAAAGCCTTACTGAAATCTAACAATGATTGGTTAAATAAATCTGTTAATGGTTTTGTTAGTACACCACTAAGCTCTTTTAATAGCTTTGGGTGTATTCCATCAGGTCCCATTAACTTATTTGTGTTTATTTTTGACAGTAGAAATAGAACCTCTTCCGACTGTAAACTCACATGTAACAAATGACTAATTTGTTCTTTTTCCTAACTGAGGTCCCTTTCCTTCATTTTCATCTGTAAATACAAAAATATTAATTGAGGTAGTCAGCTTGACCTTTATCCTCTTCTACATACCTTCCTTCTTTTGTTTTTAATCTAACTAATCCTTGTTTTACTTTTCTTGTCTCATTTATGTATCTAAAAAATGTTTTGTCCCCCTTTTTTACTGACTGTGCTATTTTCTTTTCTGTGTGTGATTTGGAAGCTCTTATAACTTGCTTAGCCTCTTTCTGCCTAATCTTATAGATCTGTCTATCTTCCTCACTCTGCGGTTTTTTATAATTACTAATTGCTAACTTTTTGTTTTTTTCTATTTTGGTCACATCTGCGGAGTACCACTGTGGTTTCTTGAATTTTTTGCTTTTACTGATAAGCCTAATGCATTTTTCTGTTGCTTTCAGCAGTGCAACTTTTAAATAATCCCATTTCTCTTTGACTCCATTTAAATTGCTCCAGTCTGATAATGACTCCTTTACACATATTCTAATTTTAGAAAAGTCTGTTTTTCTTAAGTCTAAAACTTTTTGTGTTTTTGTGTGGTGTGACTCAGTCACTGTTCTTATATTAAACCACACTGACTGATAATCACTGGATCCTAAACTTTCACCTACAGTAATATCTGATACCAAATCTCCATTTGTTAACACTAAATCTAGTATGGCCTCCTTATGAGTTGGCTCCTCAACAACTTGTTTTAGAGACAATCCCATTAGGTAGTTTAGAATATGTGTGCTCCAGGCAGAAGCAGCTATTTTGGTCTTCCAATTCACATCAGGAAAATTAAAGTCACCCATGATGATAACTTCCCCCTTCATTGTCTTTTTAGCTATTTCCTCAACTAGTAGATTATCTAACTCTTCTATTTGTCCTGGGGGCCTATAAATCACACCTACACAAGTTACTGTGCGATTACCAAATTCTAACATAGCCCAAACGGACTCTATGTTCGCCTCACTAACTTTTATTAGGCTATCCATTCACACGTGTTGGTACAATCTGCGCTCCCAGCAGCCAATCAAAGTTGGTATTTCCTCGGTTGTGCTGTTTTGTGTCAGTATTTAACTGTGCTGAAAAGGGTAAGAAGGTATGAAAACTGCCTTAGAATCAGAAATACTATTGGTAGTGTATTACGCTACGATGATGGTATAGAATATTATTGTTGGTTTAAGTTGTAATTATATAGACACTTATAATTAACCCTTTCTGGCTGGATCTGTTTTTGTTTTTGGAAAAATAAAATTCTTCACAGTTACAGGTTAGAGAGCAAGACTGTATATGCACAGAAGTATTTATTTTAGAAATATAAATATTATATTGTATCAGTGTGATGGGTACAGATTATACCCTGGCACCATAGTATGTCCTAGGCAGAAGGTCTGGACATTTATCAGTATAGTATTTAAAGGTTGGCGAGTTTGTTGCAGTACATTTTCTATGGAGGACTGTGTATTCTGGATTAGACAAAATAAATCACAGAGCTGTTCATTTCCTGAACATATGGAAAATGTTTTTAGTGATCACCCAATTTAAGGGGGACAAAGTAATGGAGAAGCCATGATGTCCATGAGGTGTATTATGAGGTGTATTTTCAACCCCTCACGTGTCACACATGGGGGGAAGTTCGTACCATTGAGTAAATAAATGTCTAAACATGCCACATTCCAAGTACCATGTTCTTAACCCTTACTACACTGCCATAGGAGTAGAGAGATAGGTGGGAACATGTCCTTTCTTATTAACAAGGTGTCATGTACACCCTAGTTTTCGTTCTCTTTTTGACCACCTACAAAATGGATTTAAATGAAAGATTTCTACTATTTTCCAAACAAGAAATAGACACACACATCTCTTAGTGCGAGTCCAATGGCAATTGTTTACAGTCAGTTTGGAAAACTAGAGGAAGAAGTGTCAGCAGAGGGGTGTGTTTTAGGGGATCTAAGTGCGAATGTCCTTCATGATGACAGACTGCCCACCACAGAAGCCAAAGAGGACTGCCCATCTGAAGAATGCAGGCTGAAATGACATGGAATTTCTGCCCAATTAAACATAGGAGCAGTTATATTTGCAGCTATATATGCTCTAGTGTCCCCAGAAGAGGGATGGTGAGGGATGGTGAGGACAGTAAGACAGGGGTCACAAAATCAATACTGCCCAACTAAATCACAGTGGGATGTACATTTATGTTGAATAACCACTTAGTTAGAGAATATCATTTTTACATCTTCATGACTTGTCTCTCTAGGATCTAGGGTCAGCCATGTTGTGGTAAAAATGGTGAGATAGTACGTTGGTGGAGGACACTCCATTTTCAGGTATCAACGTTCACAGGCAAAAAAAATTACAGGTATCAAGAACCAAGCAAAGTAACATTTTGTTTCCACCTACAGATGTCCGGACACCAATGAGTTCTGGTACTCGGGGGAGAGCTGTGACTCCAGGATTAGCAGACCTGGAGTGATTGGGGGAGTCACAGCCGCTATCGTTATCTTAATCCTTATAGCAATCATAACAATCATTCTGTGTCGCAGACGGAAAAGTAAAGGAAACCAGGAATTATTAACAAAGTACGTTTTTATTACAAAACTTTTCTCTCTCCAACATGTCAAATCCTACATTACCTGTATGTGTCATTCATCATTTTTATACATTTTATTCCCTTTTTTTCTATCTTGTTAGTGCAAATTTGGATATAAACATTTTCTTTTACCTACATTTGCTTTAAATATAATATCTAAATAAAATTATTGCATACTGTTTCTCTTTAACTATGTTTTGTTATTAAAGTAAAAATATAGACTTTACGAATCCAGACGAAATGGAATCAGAATGGACTAGCGGGCAAAACATCACGGGACATCCACCTGCAGAAGGTGAGATCTGATAAATATATATTGATATCAGATTATGGGACGTTCTGTACATGATTTATGTGAAGTCTCAGGAGTTCATTAATGACGATTCTTCTCTCGATTCCCAGGGAACAAATTCACTCCAAACTTACAAAGTGTGGATATCTTTAAAAAGGTAATAAAGTGCTCTTATATACGTAGATCCCATTTGAATAAAATATAGCTCATAAAAAGGACAATTCAGAACATTTATATTATGGGAAAAAAATAGCTTATTGAAATGGGAATTTGTTATGAATGTTGGATGGACATGAAACTACATATTTTATAGCAAAATGTTTGACAACAAAAACAGGGTTATGTACAAAAGTAAGAATTCCAATTGAATTTCAAATGTAAGGTGAAAATAGCTGAAATGGAAGCGTTCGCTAGGTCAGATATTCTTTCAGTTAAAGGACCACGATAGGCACCCAGACCACTTCAGCTTAATGCTAGGATTAACCCTTTCTTCTATAAAGAGAAACTGCTATGTTTACCTATGGGTTAATCCAGCCTCTAGTGGCTGTCTCACTGACAGCCGCTAGAGGCCCTTCTGTGCTTCTCACTGTGATTTTCACAGTGAGAAGACGCAAGCGTCCATAGGAAAGCATTGAGAATGCTTTCCTATGGACAGGCTGAATGCACGCGTGGCTCGTGCCGTGCATGCGCATTGAGCCGATGACGAGAAGGAGGAGGAGAGGAGGAAGAGAGTCCCCCACCCGGCGCTGGAAAAAGAGGTAAATTTAACCCCTTCCATCCCCTAGAGCCCGGCGGGGGTGGGGGGCGACCCTGAGGGTGGGGGCACCCTCAGGGCCCTATAGTGCCAGGAAAACGAGTATGTTTTCCTGGCACTATAGTGGTCCTTTGACCAATTTGAAATTCACTCTGATAAATAACCATAATAAGGTAACAACACTCTAAACCCTAAGCCACTTCCTCTAAATGTAGTGGTTTTGATGGCTAGAGCCTGCCCCCAACACAGTGATATATGTAAACATTGTTGTTTGTGAGAAAGGACGTTGATACATTTATCAGTCAGAATACATCAAGTGACAGTCAATCAGCCAATCAGACCGCCACTAGAGGCACGTCCTAACTAAGGTGAGAGTTCAAAGTGAATTCAAGGAGAATTTAAAATCTGAGGCAACAATAGCTGAACCTGATGCTTTGCTAAATTAAAGAGGTTTTTAAATTCAGTTATTTTGGCCTTACATTTGAAATTCACTTTAATAAATAAGATATTTCTGTATCTTTTTGCCTTATAAGGGTTTTGTGAGGGATTCCCTTTCAGGGTTGCTGCTCAATTGAGTAAGCGCAGACTCTTCCCCTTTTTCTCTATTTTTACTTTAATAAATAACCCTGTTAAACATTCAAGTCTGGCAGCAGGACTGGCTGCCTAAGGAACATTGCCCTTTACTGAATAAAAGGTGAATAAAGCAATGTGTTTATATATTTTAGGGGAGTCCATACTCTTCACTTCAACATTAAACATACTTACTTACTGTGCTTCAAAGTTTACATAGTCTGGTAGAAATAGTAAAATTTTGGCATTGATTTTAAAATTATGGCTGATCAAGCAAAAAAAAAGAAAATGTCCTTTATTGAATGATATTGATCATATGAGGCCAGTTATTATCACATTGTTGTTTGGCTCATTTTAAAATCATAATGATAACAGAAACCACCCAAATGGCCCTGATTAAAACTTTACATACCATTGAAAGATTGGCCTGTTACAGACACACATGGTGACACACACAGGTTAAAATGGCAAATAAAGGTTCATTTCTCTTTTTCCCTTTTTAAATTGCAATTAGTGTCTGTGTATAAATAGTCAATGAGTTTGTTAGCTCTCACGTGGATGCACTGAGCAGGCTAGATACTGAGCCATAGGGAGCAGAAAAGAACTGTCAAAAGACCTGCGTTACAAGGTAATGGAACTTTATAAAGATGGAAAGGGATATAAAAAGATCTCCAAAGCCTTGAAAATGGAAGTCAGTACTGCTCAATCATTTAATAAGAAGTGGGAAATTCAGGGATCTCTTGATACAAAGAGTCAGCCAAGGTCAGATAGATCAAGAAAGATTTCAGCCACAACTGTCAGAAGAATTGTTCAGGATACAAAAAAAAACTCCATATGTAACCTCAGGAGAAATACAGGCTGCTCTGTAATAAGATGGTGGGGTTGTTTCAAGGAGCACAATACGACGACACTTCAACAAAAATGAGCTGCATGGTCAAGCTGACAGAAAGAAGCCTTTACTGCGCCAGTGCCACAAAAAAGCCCGGTTACAATATGCCCAACAACACCTTGACCCTCCTCACAGCTTCTGGTACACTGTTTTGGAGGGTGTGAGCTTTAAAGGCACGGGATGAAAAATAAATGGCAAGATGAATGCAGCATGTTATCAGAAAATACTTGCAGACAATTTGCATTCTTCTGCATGAAGGCTGCGCATGGGACGTTCTTGGACTTTCCAGCATGACAATGACCCTAAGCACAAGGCCAAGCTGACCCTCCAGTGGTTACAGCAATAAAAGGTGAAGGTTCTGGATTGCCCATCACAGTCTCCTGACCTTAATCGAGCCACTCTGGGGAGATCTCAAACAAGATGACCAAAGACTTTGCATGACCTCGAGACATTTTGCCAAGATGAATGGGCAGCTATACCACCTGCAGGAATTAGGGGCCTCAGACAACTATTACAATAGACTGCACGTTGTCCTTGATGCTAAAGTGGGCATGAAGGGTATGCAGGCTATTAAACATGGGGTCGTTTTATTTTTTCTTTGTTGCCATGTTTTGTGTTATGATTGTGCTATTCTGTTATAACCTACAGTTGAATATGAATCCCATAAGAAATAAAAGAAATGTGTTTTGCCTGCTCACTCATGTTTTCGTTAAAAATGGTCCATATATTACCAATTCTCCAAGGGTATGCAAACTTTTGAGCACAACTGTATATTGTGCCGAAATACCTTTTGTCAATGGATTGTTATGTGATTGCTATAATCACTATACTCCCCAGGGTATAATCACTAAGCTCTGCTAAGAGCTTGTTCCTGTTCCTGCTTTCTGGAATTCGGAGAGAGGTCGACCTGCTGGAAGCTGGACCCTGGTCTTGGGTCCAGAGTGGGTGGAGACGGCGAGACCCCAACCAAGCTGCGGCGGTTCGTGGGGTCTGCAGTGGTTATGGTGTCGGGCAGAGTGCTTGGAGTCCTCGGTCGGCGGAAGGTACCCGGTCGGGGTGCCAGTGGTTCCGTTACATATATTTATTTTGATGTTATTTTGTTCCTATAAAAGGAAACCAATGCAAAGAGAGAAAACACAAATATAAAGACAATCCGTTCAAAAATGCATTCAATAAAATAAATAAAAAATGTACCTGTTGCTTCAAATTCCAAGCCTCCGATGTAACCTCTATGACATCCTTATCAACCAGTTATTAAGATCTCTCATCAAACCCTAGACCTTCTTTAAGATGCCAATGGAGAGCTCTGCATTACCCATAAGCCCCTGCAAGCGTCTCGTTCCCTGGATGATAAAATGCCACACAGGGGTTTATTGCAAATGTATCCATTAACTCGGATGATGCACAGAGTTGATTCAGTTATTTCAAGGAACTAAAAGTTAATGTTTGCTCCCGGAGATATTTTGAGCTGGTCAACGGATGATTATTCAGCAATTTGTTCTGATGCAATCTGGTTGGTTTATTATTTTATATTAAGTGACTACGATTAAGCACAATTGGACTGAACATGGCCATTTAAAATATCTGTCTTGCTTTGCAATGTACGTATTCTCCTGTTTATAATATTGTACAGCGCTGCAGAAAAGGTTCCTAGTATATACAGTAAATGAGAATATTAACAATTATTATATTTGTTGTTTTGAATGTATCCAGTAGTTATTTAAATGTAGATAATGTAACAATGGGCAATGCTTCTGGTACCAGTATCAGCATATCAACGGCTGTTCTTACTCTATCATTGTATAACCAGCAACGTCATTGTGTTAAGGGGATTTACAGCGATTTACAGCTTTAGCATTCATTTTACATTTTCTTTGAAGAAGTAAGTAGAAGTATAGATCAGGGTGTTGCAGTGGATGTGATCTACTTGGATTTTGCCAAGGCATTTGATACGGTTCCTCACAATAGGTTTATCTTCAAACTAAGAGAAATTGGTCTAGATGAATATTCCTGTTCTTGGGTAGAACATTGGCTTAAGGATAGAGTACAACGAGTTGTAATTAATGGTAAATTTTCAGGCTGGACAAAAGTGGTAAGTGGTGTCCCTCAGGGTTCTGTTTTGGACCGCTTCTATTTTACATATTTATAAATGATCTTGAAATGGGCATTGAAAGCCATGTATCAGTGTTTGCAGATGACACAAAACTTTGTAAAGTAATAAAATGTGAGCAGGATATTGCTTTGCTGCAGAGAGATTTGGATAGATTGGGGGACTGGGCACTAAAATGGCAGATTAAATTTAACATAGAGAAATGCAAAGTTATCCACCTAGGATGAAATATGCACAGGAAATTAGGGATAGTAACATTTCAGAGGTCTGTACAGATTTTTTTAACAGCTGCTGGGTGAAAATTTGCATAATATCCCTGCCATTCAGAGATATAATATGATGTGGGCTAACAGCTTCTTGATCCATGGAGAGGTCTGACTGTCATTTTTTTTTTTTTGATCAACAGCAAAAACATATATAAGGAAGGCTGAACTTGATGGACCTAAGTCTCTTTTTATCCTATGTAACTATGTAACTATGTAAATCGTGATAGATCTGATCGATGAACTCAGCAAGCAAGTTCTAGGAGGGCCACACAGTGCGAGAATACAGAAGCATTCACTTTATAGCAAACCAATTAATATAGAACAAATAAAAGAATAACTATAACATAGAATGAAAACCCCAAGGAAAAAAAATAAGCAATGATAGATTTCTGTTCAAGTCCCTTTTAGTATATTTATAAACATGATCCATTCATTCAGTGGATATTTTTTTCTTTTAGGTACAGATAAGGCGTCCAACATTAATTCGAACTCCAGAAAGCTCTGACTAGAACGGGTCTGCTTTCCTTAACTACAAGTGACGGCAATGAATATCAGCCATCAAGCTCTCAGTCTGAAGGAGTAATACTTGCCGAAGGTCTATAATACCCGTCAATTTCAATAGGCTGGATGGACATCAAAGGCATAATGGGATTGTTCCCTGTATAATGTAAACGATAGAATTTAAGAAACACAGTGATTTAAACATATTTAAAAAAATTAATTAAACTTTTTAAACGTTGGTAACTGTATTTATATTGGTTTAGAAGTATAATTATTTTATTCACTGCATAAATTTCAACATTCGTATCAAATATGTATTTTAATAAAATAAGTGTTACAAATATTGAAAAAGGAAACAATATGTCTCGGTGATTAATTTTCCTAGACAGCTTCAGCTTAATGAAATGGTCTGGGTGCCAGGTCCAGCTAGGGTTAACCCTTTCTTCTATAAACATAACAATTTCAGAGAAACTGCTATGTTTATATTAGGGTTAATCCAGCCTCTAGTGGCTGTCTCATTGACAGGCGCTTCCGCGCTTCTCACTGCGATTTTCACAGTGAGAAGACGCCAGCTTGTAAATGCTTTCCTATGAGACTGGCTGAATGCGCGCGCAGCTCTTGCCGCGCATGCACATTCAGCCGAGTCGGAGGAGTGGAGGAGGAGAGCTCCCCGCCCGGCGCTGGAGAAAGAGGTAAGTTTAACCCCTTCTACCCCCTAGAGCCCGGCGGGAGGAGGTCTCTGAGGGAGGGGGCATGTTTTCCTGGCACTATAGTGGTCCTTTAACTTATTTTTATTCTGCACTTTTCTATTGGCTATTGATATCAAAATTATATTATTGGCTTGGATGTACAGTAAAAACGGAAACTTAACATTTACTATTTAACTATAAAAATTCACCACTAGAGGTCACCAGAATACTGTGTGCAGATATGCACAACATTACTAACATACACAAAATGAAAACTTACCTTATATTATACTTTATTTAACCCCTTAATGCCGTTACATTCTATGCAGTCCCCATTTAAATGGGCTTTAAAGCCGTTGTGGCAGCATAGAATGCCGTAACTGCTTTCACCCCCAGGAGCTCGGAGGTACTTACCTCCGCCGCGATCCTCTTCTGGAGGACTGCCTGACAGCCCAGGCAGCCCTCCCCCGGTAAATGAGGCCCCCGGAGGCCATATGATCGCTCTCAAAGAACAATCACATGGCCCCCTATAGCTGGCTGTGGATCTGCCAGCAGGGGGATTGTATGAAATATCAGACAATCCCCCTGCTGGTGGGAAGTGTAAAACAAAATTATTAGACATGTGTAAAATTATATATACATGTAACGTCATACAAAGTGTATTTTAATATTAATATAAGTACATATATTAGTATTAAAATACACTTAGAATGACGTTACATAGATATAATATATATATATATTATATATAATAGATATATACACATATATTATATATATACGTATAATTACAATAATAAATAAAATAATAAAATAAATAAATAAAATATTGAAACAAAATTTTATATAAATTATATATTCATATGTAATTTCATTCTAACTGTATTTTGTTTATATATATATATATATAGGTAACAAAATACACTTAGAATGCCATTCTATATATATCTATCTATATATAAAATACAAATAACCGCAAATATAAATATATAGATAAATACATATAATTACATAAAAGATTACATTAGTATACACGTAGAATTGAAATACCTATAAATGTATATATATATATTAAAATTCTACGTGTATATTTAAGTAATCTTTTAACATAACTATGTGATTTGATTAATTAAAATTTGATTGACATGCCTGACAACACAGGGAGAAAGTGCAAAGAAATTAATTTGCAAGCACTATATTTGACCCTGTAACTCTCCAAGACACCATAAAACCTGTACATGGGGGGTACTGTTTTACTCGGGAGACTTCGCTGAACTCAAATATTAGTGTTTCAAACTGGTAAAGTGTATTACAATGATGATATTTTAAGTAAAAGTGATTTTTTTTGCATTTTTTACAAAACGAACTGCACTTTTATGGACCATATTATTGTTGTAATATGGTTTACTGTTTTAAAACACTAATATTTGTGTTTAGTGAAGTCTCCCGAGAATAACAGTACCCCCCATGTACAGGTTTTATGGTGTTTTGGAAAGTTAGAGAGTCACATATAAGGCTTGCATTTCATTTTTTTTACATTGAAATTTGCCAGATTGGTTATGTTGCCTTTGAGAGCGTATGGTAGCCCAGGAATGAGAATTACCCCCATGATGGCATACCATTTGCAAAAGTAGACAACCTAAGGTATTGTAAGTGGGGTATGTCCAGTCTTTCTTAGTAGCCACTTAGTCACAAAAACTGGCCAAATAGTTTTTTGCTTTTTTTGTTTTACACAAAAACAAATATGAACGCTAACTTTGGCCAGTGTTTGTGACTAAGTGTCTACTAAAAAAAGACTAAACATACCCCACTTTCAATACCTTGGGTTGTCTACGTTTTCAAATGGTATGCCATTATGGGGGTAATTCTCATTCCAGGGCTACCACACAGTCTCAAAGGTAACATTACACACCTGGCAAATTTCAATTTGAAAATGGAACGTTCTATATTTGACCCTGTAACTTTCCAAAACACCATAAAACCTGTTAATGGGGGGTACTGTTGTACTCGTGGGACATCACTGATTATAAATATGGGCATTTTTTTGCAGTATAACTTAACAGTATTATGACAGTCACAGCTAAAATGTCAGACGGAAATACAAATGTGAAAAAAAATCTTATTTTCTCACATTTTTTAAAATTTTATTCATAATAAATTATGTTCCATATATGAATAGTTAATGATAAATTAAAGCCCTGTTTCTCCTAAATAAAATGATATATAATAAGTGTGGGTGCATATAATATGAAAGAGGTAAATTACGGTTGAACAGACATATAGCGCAAATTCCAGTTTTTGTTTACGTTTTGTTTTGATCAGAATGTGCACTATTGACGCCATCCTGAAGGGGTTAAATGGCCACTAGTGATCACAAGAACCCCTATACATGAATACTCCTCACTTAGCAACACTGCTTAGCAGCTTGTAAGGACAAAGTTGCTGCAAGTAAAATAGGGGAGAGTTGTTTTAGTAATATTATTGTTATTTTAATTATTATTGTAATATTGTGATATTATTGATACTCTGTCTTCTTCTCTTTCTCCACCTCTCACTAAAATTCTCAATCTCTCTCTCTCCTCTGGTTTATTTCCATTGCCCTTCAAACATGCAACTTTAACCCCAATTCTAAAGAGGCCCAATCTTGACCCTTACTCCCCATCCAACTATCGTTCTATCTTGCTACTGCCTTTTGCATCCAAGATCCTCGAAAAAATTTTGTATGCAAGATTGACAGACTTCCTCGAGTCCAACTCTCTGCTAGACCCACTTTAGTCTGGTTTCCGCGCTAAGCACTCTGTGGAAACGGCACTGACCAAAGTATCCAATTATCTACTCGCTGCAAAATCTCGTGGTCACTACTCTATCCTAATTCTCCTTGACCTGTCTACAGCTTTTGACACTGTTGATTATCAACAGCTTCTTCTCATCCTCCGCAATATCGGTTTTCAAGATATTGCTCTCTCCTGGTGCTCCTCCTACCCCTCCCAGCGCTCTTTCAGTGTTTCTTTCTCTGGCTCTGCTTCTTCTCCCCAACTTCTCTCTGTTGGTGTCCCCCAAGATTCAGTCCTTCGTCCCCTACTGTTCTCCATCTATACTGCCTCCCTTGGTAAACTCATTAGCTCCTTTGGCTTCCAATATCATTTCTATGCGGATGACACGCAAATCTACCTGTCCTCTCCTGATCTCTCCCCGTCCCTCTTGACTAGTGTCTCTGACTGCCTCTCTGCTGTTTCTAACTGGATGGCTGCCCACTTCCTTAAACTAAACTTGACCAAAACTGAAATTCTGGTCTTTCCTACCTCAAGTGTTGTTACTCCTGTGTCTGTCTCCCTCCAAGTCAACAGTGCTACCATCAGCTCCACCACTCAGGCTCGCTTCCTAGGTGTTCTCTTTGACTCCGACCTCTCCTTCAAGCCTCATGTTCAATCTATCACCAAATCCTGTCATTTCCATCTCAAAAACATTGCGCACATCCGCCCCTACTTAACGCCAGATGCCACTAAGGTGTTGGTCCATTCCACTGTCCTTTGTCACCTTGACTACTGTAATCCACTTCTCAGTGGTCTTACGTGCTTCCAACTTGCGCCGTTACAGTCCATAATGAATGCGGCGGTGAGGCTCATCTTCCTGTCCGCCTGCACCTCCCATGCCTCACCCTTCTGTCAGTACCTACATTGGCTTCCTATAAAATATAGAGCTCAATTTAAAATTCTGGTTCTTGCTTTCAAATCTCTACATAATGCTGCTCCCACCTATCTATCCTCCCTTATACACAAGTATGTCCCGTTTAGGCTTACGATCTGCTGAAGACTTACGTCTATCTTTTGTCCATACTCCCACTTCTGATGCTTGCCTTCAAGATTTCTCGAGGGCTGCACCATTCCTGTGGAACTCGCTTCCCTCCTCCATTAGATGCTCACCCAGTCTCCACTCCTTCAAAAAATCGTTAAAAACCCACTTCTTCATAAAAGCGTATCAATTAAACTGTTAATAGCTCCTAACTGATTCCTCTTCTGCAACTATCACTAGTCTAATACTAGCCTTAACTTTTTGTGTAATTTTACCCCACTCCCTCTAGCATGTAAACTCATTGAGCAGGGCCCTCAATCCCTCTGTTCCTGTTTCACTATAATATGTAAACTCACTGAGCAGGGCCCTCAACCCCTCTGTTCCTGTGTGTCCAGCTTGTCTAGTTACAACTACATGTCTGTTCGTCCACCAATTGTAAGCGCTGCGGAATTTGACGGTGCTCTATAAATATCATAATAATAATAATAATAATAATAATAATTTTATTATTTAACCCCTTCAGGATGAGTGATGGACAACGTCCGTCACCCATTAAAATTAACCCTGGATCGCGGGGTTAATGGTGCTCTATTTGGTCCTCTGTATTTTTGTTAGCTGGGGTGGGTGTTAGTTATGGGAAAACGAGTTTTAAAAATCCCCTGCCGGTCAATGCAAGGCCGGCACTATCCGAGCGCCGGCCCCGCTGTTTGCCATGGAGGGCCGGTGGTGGAGATCAAAGCTCTGCCTTACCGGCCCATTTAAATAGACCTGCGGCTGGGGAGGGAGGGAGAGGACCC